TGGAGGTAAGAAAGATTATTCCCAGAGTGCTGGGCAGTGGTGGAGCAAATCTTTAATCCCAGCACTCGGGAAGTGGATGCAGAGGCAACCAGATCTCTATGAGTTTGAGGCCAGCCTGGTCTACAGAGTGAGTTCCATGACAGCCAAGGCTATTATATAAAGATACCCTGACTCAAAAACAAAACAATCCTCGTTTGTATAGTGGTGAGAAAAGAAAAAAAACAAAAAAAAGAAAGAAAGAAAGAAAGAAGGAAGGAAGGAAGGAAGGAAGGAAGGAAGGAAGGAAGGAAGGAAGGAAGAAAGAAAGAAAGAAAGAAAGAAAGAAAGAAAGAAAGAAAGAGATTAGGCTGGAGAGATGGCTCAGAGGTTAAGAGCCTTGCCTGCTCTTCCAAAGGTCCTGAGTTCAATTCCCACATGGTGACTCACAACCATCTGTAATGGGGTCTGGTGCCCTCTTTTGGCCTGCAGGCATACACACAGACAGAATATTGTATACATAATAAATAAATATTGAAAAAAAGAGATTATATCCAGAGCGCAAGAGAGCCTATAGGGCATCTCCTGGTGCTACCATGTCCTGTGGTTAAAGTCAGTGGGCAGCTAGAGCAGTAGTAGGTTGTAGTCATGGTCATCTTCTGCTCATCTGGAAAATGGAGGTTTCCAGTAAACTACTCTTTTAGGAGAACTCAAAAGAAGACTCATCTGGGAGCAGCAACAGAGATGGCTCAGAGGTTAAGAGCACTGGCTGCTCTTCCAGAGGAACTGGGTTCAATTCCCTGCATCCACATGGTGGCTCAGAACTGTCTGTAACTCCAGTTCCAGGGGAATCAAGCATCCTCACACAAACCTACAAAATACCAATGCACATAAAATAAAAATAAATAAGTTATTTTTTCTTTAAAAAAAGAAGGGCCCGGGAGCTGGAGAGATGGCTCAGTGGTTAAGAGCATTGCCTGCTCTTCCAAAGGTCCTGAGTTCAATTCCCAGCAACCACATGGTGGCTCAAAACCATCTATAAAGAGGTCTGGCGCCCTCTTCTGGCCTTCAGGCATATACACAGAATACTGTATACATAATAAATAAATAAATAAATGTTTAAAAAAAAAAAAAAAAAAAAAGAAGGGCCCGGGCAGTGCTGGTACACACCTTTAATCTCAGCACCAGGGAGAGGCAGGTAGATCTCCATGCCAGAGACCAACCTGGTCTACAGAGGGAGTTTCAGGACAACCGGGGCTGTTTTACAGAGAAACTCTTGTCTTGAAAAACTGAGAATTAGGGAAGGGGGAAAAATTAAAATAAAATAAAAACTGAGGATAGCAGGGTGGTGGTGTCGCACACCTTTAATCCCAGCACTTGGGAGGCAGCAACAGGCAGGTCTCTGAATTTGAGGCCAACCTGGTCTACCAAGTGAGTTCCAGGACAGCCAGAGTTGTTACACAAAGAAACCCTGTCTTGAAAAACAAAAACAAAAAAGCCCTAAGGAAACTGATGCTCAGAGATGAAAAATGCACTTGTTCAATTTATCTTTTCTTTTCTTTTTTTTTTTTTTTTTTTTTTTTGGTTTTTCGAGACAGGGTTTCTCTGTGGCTTTGGAGCCTGTCCTGGAACTAGCTCTGTAGACCAGGCTGGTCTCGAATTCACAGAGATCCGCCTGCCTCTGCCTCCCAAGTGCTGGGCAATTTATCTTTTCTTTTGTTTCTCTCTGTAGCTTTCTCTTTCTCTGTTTTGAGATCAAACTCAGGGCTTCATGTATACTTGATAAGCACTGGACCACTGAGCTACCAGCTCCTAGATCAATTCTTTTTTTGTTTGTTTGTTTTTCGAAACAGAGTTTCTCTGTAGCTTTAGAGCCTATCCTGGAACTAGCTCTTGTAGACCAGGCTGGCCTTGAACTCACAGAGATCTACCTGCCTCTGCCTCCGTAGTGCTGAGATTAAAGGCGTGCACCACCACCACCCGGCTCCGGTCCTCTCTTATCCCTCCTTCCATTCCATTGTTCTACTGATCTCACTGATGGAAGAAACCTGCCATTTCTGGATTCTTCCTCTCAAGAAAATTCTTTTACTTGGAGTGAAAAAAACAGACTATGAGGAACTGTGCTTATCGTTCAGGGGTCGAGGACTTGGCTAGCATGGATGGATTTCTGTGTTTAATCTCCAGCGCCACACAGAACAAATGATTCTGAGCAAGTCCCCTGACCTTTCTAGGCTTCTTTTTCCTCAGCACTATCCTCCTGCCTCCTCCTCTCTTCCTCTTCAGGTAGGTAACAAAGGTAGAGTTCAGAAATGAGAAGGGACAGGTGTTGGGACCTAATGGAGTCCTGGCCTTCCTACTCACCTCCCCTGTTGGTGACCATTCTTGCCCTTGTTGTTCTGGGTTTCTGAGAAACTTAAAAGTTCTTTACTCTCGGAGTTGTTTACCACCCCTGCTTCCTGAGTACCCATTGCCTTGGCCCTAACCCGAGGATCCAGCGATGAGGTCTCCATCCTGTTGATCCACCTGTCTGGGTTAGGTATAAAACCCCCTTGGTGATGTACAACAAAGGGCTTCTGATTCTGTACCATCCAGAGTGCGTGTTTCATTAATCCTGACGTCCTTTGCTCGGACTCGGCATCCAGGTTGGCGCGGCAGGCAGGGACTTCGGTTCTAGGTCTCAGTAGGCAAACACCTCTAATTGCTCCCTGGAAATAGTTTTAATAGTTTAAACACTAATGACAGTTCTGGATTACATTGGTTTTTCTTTCTGGAAAGAGGTTCCCAAAGCAGGGGACAGTGGGATCTCAGTTAGTAACCTGCTATTGTCAATGAATAGGCCAGGACACAGGCTGGGAGGAGGCATCTTGCCTGGAGTCCAAAGAAGATTGAGCTTTGTGTATTCTGTCAACTGAACAGAGTTAAAATTCTACAGGTGAGAGGGTAGTCCTGTGAGAATAATGGTTGTGTGTGTGTGTGTGTGTGTGTGTGTGTGTGTGTGAGAGAGAGAGAGAGAGAGAGAGAGAGAGAGAGAGAGAGAAACTGCTAATTGTGTGCTTCAACTCACATTCTATGAGTCTGAAAAATAATTAAACGCTAGGCATGGTGGCTTATACCTATAACCCCAGCAAGGAGATAGAGGACGTGCGGAGGACTAAGTGCATAAACAAAGGACTTTCCCGCTCGTTTCTACCCTCATCCTCACGGCAGGCTTCTCGCCTTAGGACTTTCGCATGGACTGCTCCCCTGCCTGGAATGCTCTTTCCCCTACATTTCCCCTATCTCTCTATCCTTGTCTTCGTTCAGATCCGGCACACCTGTCAGCTCTTCCAAACTGGACGTCCCAGCTGGCTCCTTTGGAATGTGGTCTTTTATCAATGACTCAGCGTTCCACAGCACTGACCACAACTGGTAATTAACTTTCTTATTCTTTGTCTTTCATCTCCAGGTCCCTGTATTAATATCTGGTAGTTAATGTTTGTTTCAAGACAAAAAGGCAGAAAGAATTAAACACAGGCTAGTGGCTGGGGAGATGGCTCAACAGTCAAGTGTCTCCCATAGAAACGTGAGGGCCTGACTTTGGTCCAAGCATCAGCGTAAAAAGCCAACTTCATAGGGGGCTGGAGAGATGGCTCAGTGGTTAAGAGCATTGCCTGCTCTTCCAGAGGTCCTGAGTTCGATTCCCAGCAACCACATGGTGGCTCACAACCATCTGTAAAGAGGTCTGGCGCCCTCTTCTGGCCTTCAGGAATACACACAGAATATTGTATACATAATAAATAAATAAATAAATAAAAAGCCAACTTCATAATTCTTTGTCTAGAGATGGAACCCTGTGAGATTACTCCCTTCCATAACAGCATGTCTTTTGTTGTTGTTTAGGCATCTAAATAATATCGTTGAGCTACCTTGACTGTAGCTTCCCTGTCATTTCGAGGAGACATGGTAACAATAAGAAAGAAAAAGAGGCCATGGATTGTAAGCACATAGAACGGTTGGACAGAAGGAAGGGAAGAAGGAAATGATGTGATGACATTTTAACTTAAAAATACATTTAAATAAAAAAAATACATTTAAATCCTAAAGAAAGAAAAGAAGAAAGAAAGAAAGAAAGAAAGAAAGAAAGAAAGAAAGAAAGAAAGAAAGAAAGAAAGAAAGAAAGAAAGAAAGAGAAGCCGGGCGGTGGTGGTGCACACCTTTAATCCCAGCACTCGTGGGGCTGGAGAGATGGCTCAGAGGTTAAGAGCACTGGCTGCTCTTCCAAAGGTCCTGAGTTCAATTCCCAGCAACCACATGGTGGCTCACAACCATCTGTACTGAGATCTGGTGCCCTCCTCTGGCGTGCGGGCATACATGGAGGCAGAATGTTGTATACATAATAAATAAATAAATCTTAAAAAAAAAATCCCAGCACTCGGGAGGCAGAGGCAGGCGGATCTCTGTGAGTTCGAGGCCAGCCTGGTCTCCAAGAGCTAGTTCCAGGACAGGCTCCAAAGCCACAGAGAAACCCTGTCTCGAAAAACAAAAATAAATAAATAAATACTTAAAAAATAAATATTTAAATAAAAAGGGGGGCCATGTTCTGTGGTCACACCTATGCCAGTACTTAGGGAAGGCAGGGCGAGGAGAGTCCCTGAGGCTTGCTAATCAACCAGGCTAAATGAATTGGTGAGCTTCAGGTTCAGTGAGAGATCCTGTCTTAAAAATAAATGTAAAGGTGGATGATGAAGCTGGAGAGATGGCTTGGCAGATAAAAATGCATACTGTTGTCGAAAAGGCCTCTAGTTTAGCTCCCAAATTGTAAAGCCTGTTTTATAAATCGGGGAAGGGAAAAGAAAAGAAATACAGGCTAAGTGACTGAAAGCTTAAAGGAATAAATGAACATACACATGAGAGGCTAAATAAAAATGAGATCAGTGTACAAAAGGAACTGTGGGGGAAAGAAGCCCAAATCACACATTTAGGACACCAAACAAACGCACACTTGGCTACGCAAAGATGTATTCTATTCTTTTTAATCCCTGAGTGATGAGAACTGAAATCTTTTGTCTAAGAAGGGATGCTGAGTTTAGAGGGGCTATGAGGCTCAGCCGCAGCTGAATCTGGAAGCTAACAGTCAGTGGATAGGGATCTGGATAGTAGAGCAGGCAGAGTGATGGAAGAGTTAGAGGGACCGGCCTTCAGGAAGGAGCACGGTGGCCTTAGTCATCCCACTCGTCATCCTCTTCATCCTCGCCGGTCTGATCCTCTCCTTCGTCTGGAGGAAGAAAGATTCACAGTGTGACTCAAGACAAGAAAGTACGTTCAAGGCCCCGAGGAATTACCTATGGCCTAGGAAGTAAAGCTCCAGCCCTGGGGGACTGACGTTTTCTGCTAGAGGCACACCTTGGGTAAAACAGGGATTTGGGTAAGGGGTGTTCTAGCTGGAGTCCAAGTCCATGCAGTATTTTTTTAAAAAAGTAAATGTTAGGCTGGGTGTGGTGGCACAGGTCTTTAATCCCAGCACTCAGGAGGCAGAGGCAAGTGGATCTCTGTAAGTTTGAGCCGAGCCTGATCTACACAAAGAGTTCCAGGATGGCAAGGGCTACATTAACAGTGAGACCCTGTCTTTGACAGGGTTTCTCTGTAGCTTTTGAGCTTGTCCTGGAACTCGCTCTGCAGACCAGGTTGGCCTCGAACTCACAGAGATCCACTTGCTTCTGCCTCCTTAGTGCTGGGATTAAAGGTGTGTGCCACCACTGCCCAACTGAGACCCTGTCTTAAAAACAACAAATATATTAATGGAGCTGCACATCGTGATGCGTGCATATAACTTTAGCACTTGGGAGGTTGAAGTAGAGAATCATGAATTTGAGACCAGGCTTGCTTGGACATAGCAAGTTCCAGGACAGCCAGGGCTATGCAGAGAAACCCTGTTTTGAAAAAAAAAAAAAGGAGGAGGAGAAGGAGGAGGAGGAGGAGGAGGAGGAGGAGGAGGAGGAGGAGGAGAAAGAAGAAGAAGAAGAAGAAGAAGAAGAAGAAGAAGAAGAAGAAGAAGAAGAAGAAGAAGAAGAAGAAGAAGTAGTAGTAGTAGTAGTAGTAGTAGTAGTAGTAGTAGTAGTATTGGATTTGATTCCCAGCACCACGTAAACTGTGAGTGGTGGTGCCCACCTGTTTAGCTGTTATCCCAGCAGCCCTGGGACGATCGGAGCTCTATATCAAGTATGTGGCTTATAGTACAAGAGACCTTGCCACAAATAACCACCACCACATGTCGTTAGTCTGGATATTCATGATAACCCCTATGTTACTTAATATGGCAGGTTTAAACATTAGCAAAAGTGGGGCATTTTATTATTGTTTCTTACTGAAGTAATACTAATATTGTTGATTATGAATGAAGCAAATCAGAATATGGTCAGATGATGAGATTTCTTAAAATATTATCACATAATGGATTCATACTCAGGTTAATATTAATATTGTGAAGTCAGAATTAATGACATTATTGCTAACCTGTTCTCAATCTATTGGAAATAGGCCAAAACTAGTATTAGCACCACATACTGGGTTAATGACAGTGTAAGTGGCACATTCAGTTCTTAACTGTAGAAAGGCTAGGTTAGTGCCCAATAGAACATATGGACTCGTACAGAGAAAATTAGCATGGCCCCTGTACAATAATGACATGAAAATTCATGAGGAGTTCCATAGTTTTGCAAAAAAATGGTCAGGTTATGATATTATCACACAATGAGTTGATGTGAGTCTGTGACTGATTGGACTTAATATTATTGCCAAGGAAGGAGGTTTCTCTTCTTTAGATTATGTCTTTATTTATTTGTGTGTGGGCCCATGTACAAAAATAGACATCAGAGAATAACTTGCAAGAATTGGTTCTCTGCTCCTACCACATGAATGCTGGCTGTCGGTGAAACTCAGGTCATCAGGCTTGGCAGCAGGTGCCTTCACCACTGAACCATCCTTCCAGCCTCTTGTTTTGTTTGTTTGTTTGTTGAAGTTGGGTCTACTGAGCCCTAGCTAGCCTTGAACCCTATGTAGACCAGGCTGGCCTCAAACTCACAGAAATTTGCCTGCCTCTGCTTCTCCAAGTGCTGAGCCACCATCCCAGCAAAGATAGATTTCTTATTTGTTTAATTCTATTATTTATGTATGAGTGTTTGCCTGCATGGACGTTTGTGCATCAAGTATGTGCCTGGTGTCTGTGGAGTTCCAGAGGAGGTTGTTGGATCCCTTGGAACTAGAGTTATAGATATTTGTGGGCTGCCATCTGGGTGCTGGGAGTTGACCCCATGTCCTCTGAAAGAGCAATCAGTGCTCTTAACCAAAGATGGAGTTCTTTATAATAGTATCTTCACATACGGAGCTGGAGACTGAAACATCCCATCTGGCATGGAAGCTCCTTAAGCCAGAAGATAAACAATTCAAAATAGCTTCAAGGAGTCCCTGAAACTGACCAGATTCACTAGGCCCCTTCTTCTAGAATAATCAATATCAAGACTATTGTGAGTCACTCTCAGACAAGCCAGCCTCAAAGGAGACTCTGAGACCAGACCAGCTGTCTGGAAGCAGAAGCCAGCTGAGCTGCCTGGAAGAGGTTTAGACCAATTGAGTCACTTGGAAAAGATAATCCAATTTGTTGTGCAGTGCGCTCCAGGCTCCCAGCTTTTGTGAGCTGTCCCCCATGCTGGGGTGGGCTTTGATCATGTTGCTGTCTTTGAGTCATTTCTGTGCCTGTACGTAACCCTTCACCCATATTCCAGTAAGTAACCCCAATAAAACTCATTTGGTTCACCACGTTGGGCTTTGGTGGTATCTGTACTTTGGTCTGTAATGGGCTCCCTATCTAGGGTGAGTAGACATTGTATGTTTCCCCAAGAAAAGTCTTGTCACTCAACTAATGTTAATATCACTGAATATATGTGGCTAATGTTCATATTGTGGAATACCCTGGCATATGTTACTGTTATTGCCAAAGATACACTTCATTGTCTTCCTGTTGCTTGATGACTTGATAGTAACAGGCTGAAGATGGCACCAGCCCCACCCTAGCTTTCATGGGAATACTGCTATCCACAGATGGGTGAATGCTGGGTTTTGTTTTCATTGCTGCACATGGGACCTAAGGCCTTAAAAGCATGCTAGGCAGGTGCACTGCCACCAAGCTACCTCCCCAGCCTCTTCTGTCGACTGTTAGGGTTTCCTGACTCGGGCTGCCCTTCAATTCGAGATCTTCTTCAACTTTTCCCGCACTGGAATTACAGGCATATCCCACCACATGGGCCTCTGGTGTCGCCATTAAGAGTGACACCAGGAGCCTGGGGCGGGGGACACACCTTTAATCACAGCACTTGGGGAGCAGAGGCAGGCGGATTTCTGTGAGTTTGGGGCCAGCCTGGTCTACAAGAGTTAGTGCCTTGTGACACAGAGAAACCCTGTCTCAAAAAAACAAAAGAAAATAAAAAAAAAGAGTGATATCTGAAGCTGTTTTCAGGCCAGTTCTAGCTAGCCCTGGGAGTTGGGTCCCAGTTCTGGCAAAGTGGGCTCACCTGAGGAATGGATGACCCTACTCCTCTTCTGCATCACGTGCATCAGGGCACCCACGAGGCCCTCTGACCTCTGAGGTGGAGGTTGCTGGACGGAGTTCTCTAGAGCTCCAGGGGTCTGCACCGAGAAATTGGGGCACAGAAAGTTCAGGACTGTGAGAAGAGCATTTTTCCTGCCCCTTCTTCCTTTCTTCTCTCACACACTCCAGTCCCTTTCAGGGGACCACACCAATCTCCAAATTATCACTGGATCCCCAACGCCTGGCATGCTCAACAACCTCAACCATGGCCCCCAAGCAGCTATCCTGCCCCTCTTTACCTTGTTGAGCTGAATTCCCTGCCGAATTTGATCCAAAAGTGCGCCCCGGCCCCCACCAGGTGCGGGCCCTCCCGCAGACGGCGGAGTAGGTGGGAGCGGGGGAGGGGCTGGCCCACTCCCAGTACTGGGTGGAGGTGGTGGTGGCGGCGGCGGTGGTGGTGGTGGCACTGGTGGTCCCCCAGCTCCAGGGAGTGGAGGAGGTGGCGGTCCAGATCGTCCTGTGGCTGGAGGGGGTGGTGGTGGAGGGCCCCCTCGGCCTGGGGGTGGTGGCCCCCGGGGTGTTGGTGGGGAGGGGGTACCCCCCACAGGTACAGGGGGCAGTGGACCACAACGACCCTTATTATTCCCCACAGTAGGAGGTCGCAGAGGTTGGCTCCCTCCTCCTCTGCAAGGTGGCGGCGGTGGGGGGAGTGGCTCTGCAGAGGGGAAAAATTATAGTAAGTCTAATAATTTTTACTCGTTTCCTGAACTTCATTTTTTTTTTCTTTTGGGCTTTAAGACCAAGTTTCTCCGCATAGTTCTTGCTGTCCTGGCACTCGCTCTGTAGACCAAGCTAGAATTGAACTCAGGCGTGCGCCGGCTTTGTTTTTTTTCTTTTTCTTTTCTTTCTTTCCTTTTGGTTTGTTTACGAGACAGGGTTTCTCTGTAGCTTTGGAGCCTGTCCTGGTACTAGCTCTTGTAGACCAGGCTGGTCTCGAACTCACAGAGATCCGCCTGCCTCTGCCTCCCCCCGAGTTCTGGGATTAAGGGAGTGTACCACCGCCGCCGGGTTCATTTTTTTGTTTATTCATAAACTACGCATCCCAACCAATAGACCCTTGATTCTTTTCCATGAAAAAACGGAGTGACTTGAGTGTTTTTCTAGGCTAACAACCCCCAGGACAGAAAAAAGGGAGCTCACCCTGGCGCCTCATCTCCTGCCGGACAGCCTCTATCCCACCCTGATTCTCAATGAAGTCATAGATTAGCTTGGAAGTCTCCGCATCAGTGAGTTGGGCCTCGCTGATTCCTGCCCTGGAGAACAGGCTCCGCAGATCTGGGTCAAGGTTGTTCACCTGCCCCAATGGAAAAAAGGGCAGAGCAGGGTTGCAAGAGTAAAGGGAATTAGGAAGGGGCACAGATTGTCACCAAATCCATGACAAGGAGGGATCCGAGAAGACTGTGAGAAGGTCTGGGAGTGGAGTCTGAGCCCTGGCCTACAAAAGAGTGTATGGAAGTTGGGTCCAGGGCCTTTGATCTACTCACGTCAAATCCATTCTGGGGATCCCAGCCCACGTGGCTGACATGTCTAGGGAAGGGAAGGGGGTGTCAGTGAAGCCCCCTTCTCTTGGCAAAGCTCTCTTACCCTCACCTTCCCAGAGGGGTCTGAGGGGCCAGAACAAGCGAGCAAATGTGAAGCCGGAGTTTGCAAGCTTAGAAAGGTCCACAGTCTGTGATGCCCATGTGCTCACTTGGTCATCCTTTCGCCATCCACCCCCTGGTCCTGTGTCTACCTCGGTTCACGTTCATCCATCAGACCATTGAGTTGACGGTGTTTCTATCCCTCCACCCATCTGCTCACATACATACGTGTACAAATTTGCCCACCCCTTTCTCTTTCTTCATATTTGTTTACCCATCTACTCATGTATTTACTGTTTTCTTTCTTCCTGCCTCCCTTCTGCCCTTCCTTCCTGCTCCTCTTTCCCCTTCATTACTCTCTCTCTTGTCTGAGATTTTTTGTTTTGTTTTGTTTGGTTGATTTTTTGTTGTTGTTGTTGTTTTTTCGAGACAGGGTTTCTCCGTAGCTTTGGAGCCTGTCCTGGAACTAGCTCTTGTAGACCAGGCTGGCCTCAAACTCACAGAGATCTACCTGTCTCTGCCTCCTGAGTTCTGGGATTAAAGATGTGCGCCACCACCGCCCACACATTTGTCTTTATTTATAAACTATCTACTCATCCACTTAACTATTTATCTAGCCCTATCCACTTTGTCTGTGAGCCGACCTCCATATCAATATCCTGCCTATATCCTCATGCACCTGCCCACTTACCACTGACTCATCTGTTCCTCCAACCAATCACCTACCCATTCATTCTTCAGCCCATTAATTGATTAACCTATCCATTCATCCACCCATACACATCTGTCCATCCTTCCATTTGCTTAGCTGTGCCCCTGTTCATGTGTTCTCCCACCCACTGGGGTCTTTGGGCTCACAGAGGGAAAAGTTCTCACTTGAATCCACTCGGCGCCCCAATATCAGCTTTACTGATCTTCTTTTTCCCTGAGCGTTTCTTATCAGCTGGGCCAGGGCCCGGAGCAGGGAGCCCACGGTATCGTGAACTTGTGATGTCAGGGTTCTGAATGTCGACTGTCACAAGTCCTAGAGATAGTGGACCTGATGGGCCTGTGGAAAAAATAATGGGAATGAACCACTGATCAATTTACCTACAGCCAAAGCACAGGGGCAAGAACTAGTGCCAGGCGGAGGTAGTGCACACTTTTAATGCCAGCATTTAGGAAGGCAGAGGCAGGCGGATCTCTGTGAGTTCAAGGCCGGCCTGGTCTACAGAGTAAGTTTCAGAACAACCAAAGATACACAGAGAAACCCTGTCTCGAAAAATGGAAGTGGAGAAGGAGGAGGAAGAGGAAGAAAAGAAAGAAAAAGAACTAGAAAGACTATTGAGGAATTATTATATATGTTTGATGGTCATGGAGGAAATGGATGACAGGGGTCTAAGCAAGGCCCAGGGAGAGGTGGATGGATCCCCAAAATCATTCAGTCACGATTCATGTATGCTTATCGTTCAAGCACTTGCTTGTTCATTCTCTGGCTGGTTGGATAAATGGCTTATTAAATTATTCATTCATCTAATCACCTAATCTTTCTTGGATAGAATATTATGTCATTTAATCTCATGTTTGTGTGAGTATGGGTATTTGGTATGAATGTGTATTGTATGCATGCATGGCACATGTGTGGAGGTCAAAGGTCATCTTTATATAGAACCTGAAGACCTGGGGATAGAGCTCAGGTCTCCAGGCTCAGTGACAGGTGCTGAGCCATCTTACCAGCTCTCATTTATTTCATTTTTCACTATTCATCCATTTACATACCCATTCATTAATTCACTGAGCATTCATTCATTACTTGAATGCAAGTAAGTATTCACCCACTTACCCAAATACCCACTCACCTTTTCATCTCTAATCTATCATCAGTTCATCTGCCTGCCGCCTCCATCAATGTTCTCATCTCTCCACTCATCCACCCAGCCAGCCAGCCACCGCTTTACATATCTACTCATCCATGAACTAACTTCCCACTATCTCTCCAGAGACATGAGAATCACCACTCACCCCCATGGTCTCCACCTGGATGCGGGGGCAGAGGTGGGAGCCCTCCTCTTCTCTCTGGGGAAAATAGGATGAGTTAAGATCTCATAGTCTTGCCACAGGTTTCTGGGGTAGTTCCTTATAACCTCTACTTGAACTAGAGGACTCACCTTCATTGGTCGGTGCTGGTGGTGGTGGCAGCTGGCGTCTTTCTGTGGTTAAATGGGCAGACTGAGAGCCAGATCCATGAGAGGGGCTTTTCGAGCCTCCCGGCCATGTACTCACTTCTGCCTAAGCTATCTTCTCAACCCCCAGCAAGGCCTTCTTACCTCCACTTTGCCTCTGATTCCTTTTTTGTATCTTCTCCTGCACCAAGGACCGGAAGGCCTGGGCTTCACTCTCATCCGCAAAGTTCAGTCCTACTTGGCAGTCCTATATATGCCTTGGGGTCAGCAACCTTGTAGCACTCCCCACCCCCCAGACTTTCTCATCACCTCCCCACACCCCAGCTGCAACCCAGGACTAGGCTGGTCACTTACATCTCCAGCAAAGGTGTGGAAGAAGGGGGTGGGAGTGAAGTAGACCAGCTGTGAGTACAGCTCCTGTTCCCAGAGCAGCCGACCAGCCTGTAGAGAGGCAGGGTTGGGGACATGCTGGCATCCAGGCACCCTGGGTGGCAGACCTTTGTTTGCTGATCAGGAAGTCTAGTGTCCAGATTTGGTGTCCTAGAGTCTTAGTCAGAGATCTCCAGCTCAGTAGCAGAGTCTGGGGTCTAGGTGTCTGCTATGGAGGATTGGGGTAGAGTCTTAGATGCGGACATTGACCTGAGAGATTAAGGTCTGGAATCTGAGGCCTATTTGTAGGAGTTGAGGGATCAACTTTAAGAATCTAGGCCTAAGCAAATTCAACATGTTGGATTTAGAAGAGATTGAGGCTAAGGCTCAGATAGAATATGGTGCTCTGGGGAATTTGTGGAGCAGATCAGGATCTTGATATGGACCTTCTAAGCTCAGTCACCTCACCTGGAATGAGAAAACACTACTCGGGACTGTATTGGTCTTTGGTTCTGGAGCTCTGATATGAACAAGGGCTTGGGGCTATGGCCAAAAACTGGTTTTGCAGGTTGGAAACTAGCTTTCCTATCCAGTGGGGCCTGGAGTCACCTGAAGACCATAAAGGCGGATGAAGTAGGACTTCTGAGGGTTGTCTTTCACGAAGCACACAGCCCCACAGTGTTCCATGGTCCAGTGCTCAGCTCCAGGGGGCAGTGCCAGGTACAGCTGAACAACTGCAGTGGCCAGTGTCTAGGATGGGAGAGCAGTGGTCAGCACATTCTGTTCATGGGTAACCAGGCCTGGTCCCTGCTTGCCCAAGGCTGTCATGAGCTTGTGGGGAAAAGTTATAGCCAGGAGGGAGGTGAGTAGATATCATGATAGTCCTGGGATCCACAAACTATGGTAAGTGAATTCTGGGGGAGGAGATGGGGTAAAGGGAAAAGAGGGATGATGGGAAGAAGAAGGAGCAGGGAAGTATGGGTAAGAGGAGGAGGCAGAAGGGGGAAAAAGAGGTAGAGAGGAAGAGGAGGAAAGGGAGGACCAGGAGATCCTCAACTCACCCAGCATTTTCGGCCAAGCAGCTCAAAGAGTCGCTGGTTCTCATGGTCCTGGAGGAGGTTGGAAGGAATGTTTTGCTGAACTGCTGGTCCCCCTCGACCCCCAGGCCTGCCTCCTACGGGGCCACCACTCATGGTGCCTTCTGCCCCAGTCCTCTTCTGCTAAGCTCTGGGTGCAGGGTAAGAAGAGGAACTTCCGCAGTGAGCAAGGGAACAGGAAGTGCAATAAACCACAAGGGAAACAAGTCCTCCAGGGGCCCCCAGAGGGCCTATCCTCCTCCCTAGGACTGGTTTGGGTCATCCTCCATTTGCCTGACTAGAACTATGTTTGTAATTAGCTCAAGGCTTCTTTCTTCTTCTTTCCTTCTCTCTCTCTCTCTCTCTCTCTCTCTCTCTCTCTCTCTCTCTCTCTCTCTCTCTCTCTCTCTCTCTCTCCATCTTCTTCTGACAGGTTCAGATCTGACTTGCTCTAGGTGGTACTGAGAGCTAAGCCATCTGGAGCACTCCTACAGGGCTGGCTGCACAGAGCGAGCATAGTCACAAGGCCTCCTTCCTCCCCAAAGCACCAGGTTGACCTGGGGTTGAGTCCAAGGCTCCAGGTGCGAAAGGGTCATTGCATTACAGCTTTCCCTTTCCGTGGCATGGTGAACCCATCTCCAGCACTGAACATTGCCAACAACATATAAGCCCACGACTCATTTCCTCATCCTTTACTCTTGCCTCCTGTAGCTCCCTAATTACTTTCTTCTTTTCAACCTCATTCTGGAAGGAAGGACTTCACAGTATAAATAAATTCTAAAACATCTTGATTGATTTTTACTATGTTGGGACTTTTCAAAATTACATAACCTTTGAAGGCTTGATTTTCTCTACTTCTGGTGATAATGGATTGGCTAGAGGTAAGCACATCCTGTACCATTGAGCTGTACCCTCATGCCCTCTAATTCTATTGCCTCTTGGATGGGACAGACCAGTTAGGGGGGTCCTCAGGTGTAGGACACCAGTTTGGGATGCCGAGCAGGTTATAGGTATGGGTAAAGTCTCTGAATTGGAGATCCTCAGGCCTGCCTGGAAATCCCTTGCCTCTCCATGCCTGCAGGCTCCTTGAACTCAGGCTCCAAATGCCTTTTGAGATGGCTCATCCAACTTCCTCTAAACTGTAGGTTCTCTTCTTCATAGAGTTTCTGGTGCCCACAGCACACAGAGCTATTGACACCTCCAGGCCTGAAGACCCTTACAACCGGTTTTATCTCCTTTCATTTGGGGGGAGAGGGAGCAGGTGTGATAGTCTCTCTTAGTCTAGGATGACCTTGAACTTACTATGTAACCGAGAATGATATTAAACTTCAGACCCGAGAAACCGAAACACTGACTTCCACAGTGGTTGCACAAGATTGCATTCCCACCAGCAATGGATGAGGGTACCCGTTCCTCCACAGCCTCTCCAGCAAAGGTTATCCTTGGTGTTTTTGACTTTAGCCATTCTGACAGATGTAAGATGATATCTCAAAGTTGTTTTGATTTGCATTTCCTTGATTGCTAAGGAAGTTGAGCATGACCTTAAGTGTCTTTTGGCCATTTGAACTTCTTCTGTTGAGAATTCTCTGTTCAGTTCAGTGCCCCATTTTTTAATTGGGTTAATTAGCATTTTAAAGTCTAGTTTCTTGAGTTCTCTATATATTTTGGAGATCAGACCTTTGTCTGTTGCGGGGTTGGTGAAGATCTTCTCCCAGTCAGTAGGTTGCCTTTGTGTCTTAGTGACCATGTCCTTTGCTTCATCTGGTGATGGATAGAGATAGAGACAGAGACCCACACAGGAGCACTGGACTGAGCTCCCAAGGTCCCAAGGAGGAGCAGAAGGAGGGAGAACATGAGCAAAGAATTCGGGACCACGAGGCGTGCATCCACCCACTGAGACAGTGGAGCTGATCTACGGGGAGCTCACCAAGGCCAGCTGGACTGTGACCGAAAAAGCATGGGATAAAACCGGACTCTCTGAACATGGCGAACAATGAGGGCTGATGAGACACCAAGGACAATGGCAGGGGGTTTTGATCCTACTTAATGTGCTGGCTTTGTGGGAGCCTAGCCAGTTTGGATGTTCACCTTCCTAGATATGGACGGAGGGGGGAGGACCTAGGACTTACCACAGGGCAGGGAACCCGGACTGCTCTGTGGACTGGAGAGGGAGGGGGAGAGGAGTGGGGGGAGGGGGAGAAGGGTGGGAGGAGGGGGAGAAGGGTGGGAGGAGGGGGAGAAGGATGGGAGGAGGGGAAGGGAAATGGGAGGCTGGGAGGAAGTGGACACTTGTTTTTTGTTTATGGTTTTTTTTCTTCTTTTCGCAATAAAAAAAAAAAAACAACTTCAGACCCTCCTGTCTTCGCCTCCCATATGCTGGGATTATAAATGCCACCATACCTGGATTTTCCAACATAATGAGAAGGGAAAGTTCGTATTTGGGTTTTAAAAAAGCCATTGTAGTATGTTGGGTATGGTGATGCACTGCTGTTAACCCCAGAACTTGGGAGACAGAGGCAGGAAGATCACTTTGAGTTTGAGGACAACTTGGTCTACATAGTAAATTCCAAAATAGGCAGAGCTACACACTGAGACCCTTTCTTAAACAAACAACAACAAAAAATGACATTGCAAGCTGTGAGTGTCCCAGTGTATTAGAGTCTCTGGTTTCCATTCCCAGGATTGTGTACATTCCCAGTAGAGTGTGTGTGTGTGTGTGTGTGTGTGTGTGTGTGTGTGTATGTGTGTGTGTGTACATTTCAATTAATTGAACTCCATACAAGAAATGCTTTACAGACTAGTTTCTGACGTAGCTGAGGCCAGCCTTGAACTTCTGATCCTAAAGCCCCTTCTTCCCAAGAGCTGAGATGAAATTAAGCATGTGCCACTATGTCTTATGCAGTTGGCTTCTGTGACAAGCAAGCATTCTTTTTTTTTAATTTTTTTAATGACTTTATGTTCATTGGTGTGAAGGTGTCAGATCTCATGGAACTGCATTTTCAGACAGTTGTGAGCTGCCATGTGGGTGCTGGGAATTGAACCCGGGTCCTCGGGAAGAGCAGTCAGTTCTCTTAACCGCTGAGCCATCTCTCCAGCTCACAAGCAAGCATTCTACTTACCAGAGCTCTCTTGTCTTTTTCTTCCTTCCTTTCCTCCTTTTTTCTTCTTTCTTTTTGGTTTTGCGAGACAGGGTTTCTCTGTAGCTTTGGAGCCTGTCCTGGAACTCGCTCTGTAGACCAGGCTGGCCTTGAATTCACAGAGATCCTCCTGCCTCTGCCTCCAGAGTGCCAGGATCAAAGGTGTGTGCCACCACCACCTGGTTTCTTTCTTTCTTTCTTTCTTTCTTTCTTTCTTTCTTTCTTTAACCTCCCAGACACAGTTCCCCCCCCTCCTCTCCTGCCAGCCTTCCCCTGACCCTCAATCTACTCCTCCATTTCTGTTTAGGAAAGGGCAGGGTCTCCCATGAATAGCAACAAAACAATCTTAATAATACACACTGAATTTCTCTAGTAAGCATATTTCTAGAAACTGGCACAAACTAGAAACTCAAGAAATATGTTTGCTGGCCGGGCGATGGTGGCGCACGCCTTTAATCCCAGCACTCGGGAGGCAGAGGCAGGCGGATCTCTGTGAGTTCGAGACCAGCCTGGTCTACAGAGCAAGTTCCAGGACAGGCTCCAAAGCCACAGAGAAACCCTGTCTCGAAAAACCAAAAAAAAAAAAAAAAAAAAAAGAAAAAGAAATATGTTTGCTGGGCACTGTGGCACACACATACAATCCAAAAATTTGGAAAAGAGAGGTAGGATCAGGGGTTCAAGGTCAACCACAGCTACTTAGTGAATTAAAGGATGACCTGGGTTACTTGAAACCCTGTCTCAAAAAGAAAATATGTTGAAGGAATATACGGGAGGATTAATAATGTTTAATTTGATGACATGTGTTAGGTCCGAGAGAAACTTGTCCCAGGTTTTGTTTTGCTTTGCTTTTCTGGAACCTTTGAAAAATACAGTGTGTGGTTAACTCACTCAATATTGACAGGCAACCCCTTGGGAAAGGCACAGTTGATAGGGAGATTGCAGCACAAACAGCTTGAACTTACAAAGTTGGGTGGGGTGGGCTATGAGAATATGTTCTCTGTGAGAAATGGTTCCTAAATCTGAGGAACCACTCACAGGCCAAGATACAATTCTCCTTTGGCTGCTCTTCCAGCTTCCAGCTGGCAGCTCACAAGCTTCTGGAACTCCAACTCTAGAGGATCCAATCGTGGAGGATCTGTCCTCCACGGACACTAGGCACACACATAATGCATAGACATAGATGCAGGCAAAACATGCACTTCTGCTCCTCCTCTGTTTTCTGTCATGCCAGAGGTAATAGGAAGCCCCAAGAGCTGCCCCCTTTACACTAGCATGTTAAATCTCTATACTTCTGCCACTTGGTATTTTTTTTTCTTTTTTTTTTCTTTTTGGATTTTTCGAGACAGGGTTTCTCCGTAGTTTTTGGTTCCTATCCTGGAACTAGCTCTATTTATTTATCTATTTATCTATTTATCTATCTATCTATCTATCTATCTATCTATTTATTTATTTATTTATTTATTTATTTATTATGTATACAATATTCTGTGTGTATGCCTGCAGGCCAGAAGAGGGCACCAGACCCCATTACAGATGGTTGTGAGCCACCATGTGGTTGCTGGGAATTGAACTCAGGACGTTTGAAAGAGCAGGCAATGCTCTTAACCTCTGAGCCATTTCTCCAGACCCGGAACTAGCTCTTGTAGACCAGGCTGGTCTCGAACTCACAGAGATCCGCCTGCCTCTGCCTCCCGAGTGCTGGGATTAAAGGCGTGCACTACCACCGTCCGACTACTTGGTATTTTTTAAATTGGCATTTGATAGTTGTGTTTCTGTCTGTGTGTGTTGGCACAAACCTTTAATTGGGAGGCAGAGGCAAGAAGATCTCAGTGAGTTCAAGGCCAGGCCAATTTATGGCTATACAGTGAAGCCCTGTCTCAAAAAAACAGAAAACTAACCATGGTTGTGTTTTTGTTTTATGTGTAAGTAGCAGATAGAATTAAAATTTATACTTTTTCTCTACAAAAAACAAACCAAAATCATTTTTTATTTTCAGGCCCCAACAGAATG